CAGAGGTGTGATGGGGGAAGCAAACGATCTCTGGTTCAGTCTGTTTTCCTCTTCACTCTACCAGGCAGCCACTTAAATCCTAATAGCTGACGAAGAAGCAGGATACTCCTACATAAAACTTAATGTTGTAGGCTATATATAGGCTTTTTTTTTTTTTTTTACAGAAGAGTGAGCGCTCGCTTGTTCAGCGCTGATGTTGATTCTGCAGAACAGCTTAAGTCTCCTTGGCAGGCTTCTCCCCAGCCGTCAGCGTGCAGGTCCTGCCGAGCTGCATCCTGATGCCAGGACCTCTCGGCAACGGTGGCTCCTGCCTGTGTGCAGCTGAGCAAGGGCTGCATCCTGCTTTACAGCTGTAGCTGTTTTGTCCACGCTGGATTGCCTTTGGGTCCACTTAGAGGAGGAAAGTGCTTTAGACTGAAGTTAAAATGCATGTTGAATGGTGTAGGTGTAAATGAAGGTTCCTGTCTAGGCTAAACTCGAGTGGTTCTGCTTTGTGCTGGTTCTGTACCGTATGTGTAGCCATGACAGCTTGCAGGCTGTCTAAAAGTGGTCATCTAACAGCATTCACAAATTTGGAGTCTGCAGCTGAGTATCAGCAGGACTTGTATGTAACAGCCCAAAAACTCTTGAGTTAAAAAAAACCTGAAGAAACAACAACAAAAAACAACAAAAAACCCCACAACTCCCCGATCCATCACCCTTTGTCTGTTCTAGATGGCACCTCTAAAGTTGGTTGCCTGTGTTTCCATCTGAGCTGAAGTCTTCCTAAGTACTGGTCTGGGGCAGACAAGGGGTCCTGTGGCACTCTGGTTTACTGCTTTATGCCTGGGCTCCCCATAAAAATGTGTCCTTCGAAAGTACAAGTCCAGTGGCCATCAGCAGGTATCCTCCTCTGCTGCCGGTGTGGAGGCATGACTCAGCTCTGCAGGAACTTTGATCTCCAGACCGTGCACCTCCTGCCATGTACAGTGAAGCAGTGAACCAGTAAGCGAGTGCACTCTGGTATGTGGGTAAGTGCGTATTGTGAATGTTAACATAGGCATCATGATGTGAATAAAGTAAATTTCGCAGACGACCACACTATCTCCAAAAAAAGATTACATTAAAGCTGTCTCCAGTGATGCCGTAAAGAATTTTTTCAGCCCTGCTGAATTATCTTGGCGGATGAGGTGCAACAGCTCACTTCCTCTGAGCTGCGGGGAGGTGGCGATTGGCGTCTGTCGCCTGCGTGGAGGGGGCTCCTTTAATCCGCGGAAACTCGCCTGGTGCCATGGAGTAAGCGGGCGCTCTCTGTTTCAGCTGAAAGCAGGCAGTTTGTTCCCGTCTACCTAATTCATCAAAGCTGAAAGCCAAATAGTGCTGCTCACGCTGCCAGTGGTGGAGGAGCATCCTTAAGGGGCTGGGCCTTTGCACTGACCATGAGTGTGCTCTAAATTTACTGTAAGCTCCAGAGGAGTAATTGAGAAACGTAGCTTGAAAGGCACTGTAAAGTTTCAAAGCATAGATTGTGTGAGTAATAAGCATGCCTAAAAGTAATGTTCGTAGTAAGAAAGCAGTGTTGCAAGATCTGCTGTTCATATAATCAGTTTTCCAGCCTGTTATAGCCAGAAAATGTGTCTTGAAGCAGACCAGGGCATGGGGAGAATCCAGTGGAAAGCCAGCTGAGCTGGAGAATGCGGCAGTGCCTGCAGTAATGGTTGTTGGTGCTTAAGTGTCATTGGAAACCCATTTTTCACTATTCCAAAAATCTGGCTGTGTTATACTGGCAGTGTGCACTTGGAGCTGGTGGGGGGTGCCTGCAAATTTGTTGTGCTAAGAGGCGTTTCAGGGTTCTCTGGGCCAGCTCTGTGCTCCTTGTGCAGGACCTGTTAGCAGATGCTTGTCTCTCTGAGTGCCACTTGCATCTCAATGCCCAAGAGACCTCAAGGAGAAGGCACTAAATGTTTTTAGTCAGTTAAGTAAAAAGGCAGCACCAAAGCAGAGACTGTTCTAGAGAGGCTGAGCACTCTGGTGGGGCTGAGCTCTACACCAGCACTTGGAAGCCAAGCCTGCTTTGGGCTGGACTCTGGTCGCTACTTGAACGTAAAGGGTCCTTTTATGTCATGACAGAGACTGAGAGCCAGGGCTGAGCTGCTTGTGGGATTCCCCATGGCTGGGAGCAGATGCCTGTGGGAAGGGTGCGCGGGTGGCCCTGCTGGGTGCTGATAAAATCTCCTGTCCTGCCCAGTTCTTCTTCTCCCTCCCTCCTCCTCCACCCCAAATGGGAAGCAGACAAGCCCTCCTACAAGCAGACTTGGAAAAAATTACCTCATGAGATCCCTATGCCTGTCAGGAAGCCGGGAGGCTGTAAGAGCTCACTGACTTTGCTGACGAAGCACAGTCGCAGGGATGGCACCAGCCCTGGGGAGGAAGAGCTGTCCCATTCCCACGGTGACCTTTTCCTGTCATCTCTGCTCAGCCGTGCCCTCGGAGATGGTGCTGGGGAAAGCTCTGAGCACACACCCGGTTGCTGCAGTAACCGCAGCTCATGTGCATATCAACATTATTTATGTGCTGTACATAGGAAATGGGCCATTCTTTATCTCTGGTAACATGTGTGTAGCAGTGTGCTTGAGGTGACTCTGTCCTGCTGGCTTTCCTCCCTGGAAATGCTGGATGGCTTTCTGAAACGAGCTTACTCATAGCATGCTAAATCATTGCACTGTCCACTCTGGTAAAAATGCCAATGTTGGTATAGATCTGAAGCTTGGGGGTGTTTCTGGCGTGGGGATGCAGTGGCCGGTGGTAAGCTCCAGCTCTGCAGTGAGTGGATGGTCCTGCGTGAGAGCATGGGATGGAGATGCTGCAGGCACAGGCAGCGAGCAGGCAGCGGGGCCTCGCTGGGTTTTGGACGCTCCAACTCTTAATTTCAGCCTGTGGAGCTCAGCCTTGGTGAGCCTGCTAGCAGGGTTGGGGTCTCTCTCTCATGTAAGGTGCAGATCTTCCTTCTGCTCCGATACGATTTCTTTCAAGAAAGCTTTCCCTAATAGGTTGTAAGGTTGCATCTTCCCTCCGCTGACCAGTTTGCAGCTCAGCTGGAAGGAGGAGGAAATGAGTAACAACAGGGACTGTTTATTTGTTGCTAGGAAACACACTACTTATATGATGCAGACTTTTACCTTCTAACCTGTAATTAAAACCCAGTGGGGCTTAATCACCTCATAGCTATCTGTTGTATATCTCAGACTGGATGTGGAATCAGCAGTCAAGTGGCAGAAGCTTATCATAATCCTGTAAGATTAGTCAAAACTAATGTTAAAAAAATTAAAATACAAATAAAATCTGAGTACAAACCAGATGTTAACTATCTAGAAAGGCCAAACACCATTCAAGGTCTGAAGTTACAGTATTATCTGTTCTGGACATACTGCCCTATTGTGAAACTGCGTAAATATTAACCACTGCCTGAGCCTTGGGTTAAAGGGGACGTGCTGGTGCTTGCTGCTCTTGGTCGCTGTTCTGTACAATCACTTGCTTTGAAAGTCAGGGGATCTTTTTGCATTAATAAGATGGTATTGGGTTGCTGCTGTGGTCTCTGTAGCTGGAGTGAGCAAAGCATGCCCAGAGGTTATTTGGCATGGTGAGGCTCAGCTTGGAGCGCTCTACCTCTAAATACTCTGAATTTGAACTGGAGAAGGTCATCAAAGTAGTCAACGCTTTCCTTTTCCTAGCCTGGACTCAATAAGATCCCTGTACAGTTATTCTGCTGACATGAAAGTGAGTTTATACTGCTCTGGTTGTCTTTATTCCAGCATCTGCTCCAGGAGCTGGAGAGCAGATGAAAGCTTCCAGGTTGCTTGTACTGTCTGCTGACTGAAAACGGGTTTCTGTAACAGTTTTCACTGAAATGGAGGAAAGAACAGAAAAATGCTCTGCTGTAACACGGTGCTGTGAATGAAAGGATCAGTCAGACTGAGGGCATCCCAAAACATTGCAGAAGAGCCCTGGTTTGGGTGAGCTTGGGCAAACTGGAGCTGTTACAGATACATACAATACAATACAACCTGAGTAGCAACTAGAGGCTCAGAGGGAGTGCATCCAATCCGTGACTCACTAAAACCAAAGTAAATTGCAAGAGTATTCACAGAACTGTAGAGGTCACTTCATAAGGCCAAACTGCAGAAAACTATCCTGCCCCTTCAGCAGCAGCTTATGACAATCTGATCTTGATACCCGGCAGCCTTAAACTTGGCTGCAGGCTTTGTCTTCAAGTAGAACTGCGGTGTGGCCGCTGTGGTGATAAATTTTTGCTAGGCTAGAACATAACGTGGAAAAGCCAGAGCTAGCTTTTCCTTTTCTTCTAACTCTTAGTTTGTAGCGTGAAGGGAAGACTTTTTGGGCAGGCAGGAGCGTGATGGTGTGAGGGATGCCTGATGGTCCTCCTCTGCCCCCTTTGTAATTTGTACCCAGGTCGCGATATATCCAGACTTTGTTCCAATTCCAAACTCTGGCTTTACTGGACTTCATTGTATAGCACTTTATTGCTACTATTGGTGGATCTGTGCGTTTGTGTATATACATGCAGCTTCCTAAATGATGCTTTAGGTATGCCCTGGGGTATTCTGCCCCTGTTGGGATGCTGTTTTTGTAAACACTATCGCATTCTGTTTAGCCTCTTTCATAAGATACAAATGCTGTTAAAAACACCAGGTTGCAGTTATCATCCAAATGCAAAATACCAGAGATCTAAAGCTGCAGATTCTCCTAAGCTTAACCTTGTAAAGCTTCCAGGGCAAGTCACAGCACCCTTGGAGAGCACTGAGTCTTTGGACCCCTATGTCTCCTCCTGTCTAATGCAGATCATGAAGAACAATGTCTCTGCCTGAACAAGTGCCTGCAGTGGCCTGAGCTGCTTCTCCTGTCCCTGATCACCTGGGCACGAGTGCAGGCACAGTATTTTAGAAATATGTATTTTTCCTTTAGGGTGGGAAATAATCAGATGTATGTCTTTTGTCTTCCAGATAGTAAAGCCATAGTTGATGGAAACTTGAAGTTGATCCTTGGTCTGATATGGACCCTTATCCTCCACTACTCCATTTCCATGCCAGTGTGGGAAGATGAAGGTGATGATGATGCAAAGAAACAGACCCCTAAGCAGAGGCTGCTGGGCTGGATCCAGAACAAAATCCCTTACTTGCCCATCACGAACTTCAATCAAAACTGGCAGGATGGCAAAGCGCTGGGGGCTCTTGTCGACAGCTGTGCTCCTGGTAAGTCCTTTGCTCTGATGGTCAGGGTTTTCCTTGCTCGCTGTCCTCGTGGCTGCTCTGCTGTTCCTATGGGAGGAGGTTTTCACTGCTAAGCTGGAGATGGGAGTGATGTGTTCAAGAAAACCTGTCTCCAAAGAGGCCAGCTGTGGGAAGCAGCGAGTTGTAAATGACTTGGCGAAGAGAAATACTGGCCTAAAGCAGAATGTGTGATTGCATTATTGGAGGCGCCACGTCTGAGCTTTGTATTGGGTGCAAGGGACAAAGGCGCAAATGCTGGCTCCTAAATGCAAGCAGGACTTGTTCCCACAACAAGTGCCAACAACCTTTCAACTTCAAGGCGCAGTAGGAGGCTTCATGTGTTCTCCCAAAATAGGATTGCAGAGGGAGCATGGAGCAGCCAGAAGCCGCGCACTACCTGAAACTTCAGTGTTTAGCAAGCTCAAGCTGTGCTGCTTAAGGAGAGTAATGTGATGAAGTGTGAAAAAGGCACAGTTTCCTCACCTTCTTGTAAAGCAGCCTTGCTAGTGCGATTGCTGGTGTTCATCTAATGCAAGTAGCTGAACTTTTCCAAATTTGCTGCAGGAGGGCCAGTGAAACATAAATGATGGGTAGATGTATTCATGCTGAATTTGGAGGGTGTCTTGCCCGGCTTAAATTTAAAGCAGTGTGGTTGCGTGGCTGCTTGTAAAGCTATACGTCCTGTTTGTTGGTAGGCAAGGTGGGTGGGAGTCTCTCTGAACCCACTGTTGCCCTCTGTGCCATAAGGGCCTGTGGAGATGCTGGTGGTTGTCTCAGAAGCATTTTCAGTGAGCAGCATGCGCTCACCTTGTTTTGGTTACTTCTGCAAAACCCTGGATGTCCTTCTGTATAGCAGCTTAACGCAAGTGGCTCTGGGGTTTGTACTTGGTTCCTTCAGCTAGGGAAGCTGCTCTGCAGGTAACACCTAACACTGACATGTTCTTGCAGGCCTGTGCCCGGACTGGGAGACCTGGGACCCGAAGAAACCTGTGGACAATGCTCGGGAAGCCATGCAGCAGGCAGATGACTGGTTAGGAGTGCCGCAGGTAAGGCTCTGCAGACTGCCTTGGGGCACATGGTGGTTAGCTCTGTGCTTGCAACTGGCTTGAATTTTGATTGAGGAAAGCAAACGAAGTTGCTTGGATGCTTCCAGAAGTTTCAGTTTACTCATGGGAAATTGCCTGAAAAAGGGAAAATTATAATGAAACACGCTATTATGTTCTGGAGCTCTGGTTGTAAGACTCTGTGTAGGTGTCTCTGCTGAAGACCGCTGGTGTTGCAGCATGTGGGGTAGGGGAGAAGGTGCCTGTGCAGCGCTGGAGTGAGTCTGTTTTGCCGCATTGAATTCCACAGAAGAAAAACTCCCTGGGTTAGGAAATCACCTGCAAAGATTACTTTCACACAGAGAACAGCATATTTGTAAACCAGGTTGTTTTCACACTGGTAAGGGTGGACAAAAGTGCTGAAGTCTCTGAAGCTGTCAAAGCAACTTGCATTGTGGGAGCAGAAGAGACTGGTCACAAGTTTCCCTTTGCAAGCACTGCAGTTCAGAGCTGTAGCACAGAAGATTATGAATTCCAAATTCTTTCAGTTTCAGTTATCCCCGTGTTGCTTTTCAGGGGAAACATAGCTGCCGTTGTCTTGTCTTGCTACTGTTTAGTTTGTCAGAGTCGCCTGGGAGCCCCTAGTAGTCAAGGCACAAAAAGCCTGCAAACCATGTTGGGACCATAATGAGCTTCTTGATTTTGTTGATATGAGATGATAAATGATGTGTATATCAAAGGAACTAAATTTAAGAAATCACATTAGCATGCGGGAATTCTGAAACGTAGGACTCTGTTGAAGCTCTGTTTCTGTGTTGACATGTGGTAACCAAGCACTGATACTTAATTGTGCTGTCTTTCAGGTTATTACCCCTGAAGAAATTATCCACCCCGATGTGGATGAGCACTCTGTAATGACATACCTGTCCCAGTTCCCCAAAGCCAAGCTGAAACCAGGAGCTCCTTTAAAACCCAAACTGAATCCAAAGAAAGCAAGGGCTTACGGCAGAGGTAAGGACTCAGAAAGCTTAAGCTGCACAGAGCGTTTAACTCTTCAGAAAGCTGGGTGGGGCTTTTTGCTGATGTTGAACTCCAGACCTACTGTAACTGACTTCAAAGTTTCACTTGTATACTCTTGGTGTGGTGCCTAGTTTCAGAAATACGTGGATATAGTCCAAAAGACACTCCTAGTTCTAACATGTAAATTCCCCCAAGTCTCTGAACCTGTTTTGCAAGCTGCCAGCCTTGCAGTCCACAGCTGGAAGAAGTAGCGTGATACGGGGCTGAAACAGCCTTGGTGGGAAACTGAAGCTCTCAGTAGTGCTGCTGTCGGTCACGGATCTCACCGTGAATGCTTCTCGTGATAAAGCACTCATCTGAAGAGAAGAAACCTCTTTAAATCTGTCTGTGTCTCTGACCAGGCTCTCTGTACAGGCAGTCTCCAGTTTCCCAGGCTTGCTGGCAGATGCGTATTAGGGTTGGCTAATTCTAAATAAGGTATTTGAATTGATCGGTAGGTGTGAATACTTTGCACATGCACAAAGCGGGGCTGGTAACCCTTCAAACATTTAGTAGTACCGAGAGTTTATTGTTAAGAGCTGTATTTGCTAATTGGATGGATTTGTCCATAGATGTTTATATAACTGTAGATCTACATAGGCATTTATATTTTTAACTTACTTTTTAAATGGATAATTCCTGTAGCTTTTGATGTGGTTCTACTCTAGATTGGAACACAATCACAGCTAAACAAGTGACAGATTTTTACCTTTAATGTGCTTGGTATGTAGCACACTTTGTTCGCTGTTCCATCTCTTTTTAGGATCTGGGGCCAGCTGTGGTCCTTGAAGATTTTTAGAGTTAGTGGTTTTCAGAACTGGGTGTACAAGAGTGTAATTGAAAGAAACAAGAGTTCTCCTTTTTTTTTTAACCTGATTTTCCATTGAAACTTAACCAGTGGAATGAATGGACAGGGAAACTATAGTCAGAAGTGGGTTTAGTACTTGCCCTACTTGGGTTTTACGTCCTTCGTTGGTGCCCCTCCCGCAGCAGACTACCATACATATACATGTTTGTGAGATCCCAAATGTATGTGTAAATGACTGATCAGCATGCCTCAATCTGTCACGTCTGCCTTTAGTCATGCTTTTATTCCTTCAAACTCTGGAATTATTTTGCTGTCTACTGTGCATACTGTGCTCTGGAGCTACTGTAATGGAAATTATAAAGCTCTTCTTGAAAGATGGATATTTTCCCTGAAATTAATTGCCAAAACGGAGTGTACAGCAGAGGTGGTGTACACGGTTGTGCAGATCATCACTGATGCACTATGAGTTCTCGTTTACCCAGCCAAAGCAGATCTCTGAGAAGAGAATAAAATACAGAAGATTGAATGTGGGCGAGGAAGGTGCTATGATGAGCGCTGTCCTGGCTGGAGCTGTCTTCTGAGGATAAGGAATCCTTCTTGTTGTGCTTGCAGAAGGATGGATGCTTTACTCGAATACCATAATGTTTGTGCAGCGGACAGAAGATACGCAGGGAGAATTTACAGCTGTTTGAACTAGACGATAATCTAGGGCTTAGTTTGAAAGAACAAATATGTCAATTGTTAACACCTTATCAGAATGCTCAGATTTCCTAGTAAAAACATGATCTTCCTTGCACTGCTCAAGTTATTGTTTTCTGAGGATAAACAAGTTCAGGAATTCTGTTGTTCACAACCACTTCCTTTATAATCTGTCAGACATTGCACTTTCCACTAATTGTCCTATGGAGAAGCAGTGCCCATGGTTTTATGAATAAGGCAAGGAGTAATTCCCTTGGAAGGAAGGGTATATATGTTTGGGCTAGTCTGGAACCAGCAACTTTGGGAAGTTCTTCCACCCACTCAGTCTGACACCACCATGAGAGGTGTCGTGACCTGGGGCTGAGCGTAGGGGGAGGATGAAACCCTGCTGGGAAATGCGTGCTGTAGCAAGTCCTGCGCTGAGGAATAAGGAAACTGATTATAAAGTAAATGAAAGTGGCACTGAAATGCAGGATTTTTGTGGCTTCAAGGGGTTCTTGTGTACTGTTTGTACAGTGTTCACTCTGGTAAAGCAGTTTGAGCAGCTTTCAAAGAGTAATAAATCTGAGCAGTGTCTGTACAGCTGAGTTCTGAAAGCAGAGTAAAATGGGACATTATGGGTATGAACTGCCTTGCTCAGATAAGTCTTTCACCCTTGGCTCTAGGGTAATATCTTTACCAAAAGACTTCATGAAATTTCTCTCCTGCCTCCCTGGCTGCCTTTCTTGCAGTGCAACACCATCACAGCATTTCGCTACGTGAAGCAGAGCAGCTCCTAAAGAGCAGCCACAGCCCCTTCGCTGTCAGTGGCAGCGCTGAGCTGCTGGGCACTCACCAGCTGTGGGCATCACCCTCATGATGTTCAGGCAATTGGGGTAACTTGCCTTTCACCCAAGCCCAAGTGCCAGTTGGGTTTCTGACTCAGCTGGAGATGCTATGATAAGCTGAGTGCCAATGATTCAACCAATTTTTAAAAACAGTTGTGTTATAAAAGGAGGGTTTTTGTGGGCATGATGTTCTGGACAGCAGTCCAGATGTCAAGCAGTGGCCAGGGGAAGCTGGTGCTGGGGAGCTCATGAGGGAGGACAGATTGGACATCTTGTGGGTAGTCTCTGCTCTACCTTTTGGGGTTTGTAGCAACAGCTCATGTGCTGCTCTGCCTTGCAGGGGTTGAGCCTCATGGGAACATGGTGAAGCAGCCTGCCATCTTCACAGTAGACACCATCAGTGCTGGGCAGGGAGAGCTGATGGTCTTCATAGAGGATCCAGAAGGAAACAGAGAGGAGGTATGTATGTTAAATGTTTTGTGTGGAAAAGTAAAGCTGGTCTGAGCCCCAAGTTTTTGCAGTAACCTTAATCTTTCACAAGTGAGGTCTTAACAGATAAGTAATCTAAAAAGAAGTTGCAAAATACCATCTATCAAAAGTGCAAGCCTCAAGCTTTTTCTCATAATTGCCTTTTTGGATGAACTTGAAAAAAACTTCACTGTCTGCAACTAAGCAACACAACTGCAGTGTCCAGTAGTTGTGGTGCTTTAGCTTGACTGGCCAAGTACATTCTGACACATTTTTAGATAACACACATCACTAAATTACTGTATGCCCTTACTCATTCTGCAAGAATGGCTAAAGCAGCTATTTAGATACCATGAATCATTTTAAGCTAAAATGCTGGTTTTAATGTTTATAGAAACTTCTCGTCCAAGTGCTCCACTTGATCATGTTACAACATTCCAGAAAAATACAGCTGTATGTTGGAATTAACGTCTCCTCAGTTTTGGCATGCTGTAGTAGAGCAATTAACGGCAAGGAAGAGGGCTGGAGTGGGGAGGTGGTACCTTGCTTCATCTCATGTAAAGACAAATTCAAGGGGTTTTTTTCCACATGAGAAAAGGAGGTAGCAAGTACCCCTGCTCCCATAGTAACACGTCACTGATATTGCAGACTCTGGAGATAGTTTGCAGTATCAAGTGCTCCCAGAAAAGTCTTAGGCTGGTGTGAGTTGGCAAGACTCAACAGTGGATGTATTTTCTGTTCTAGGCAAAGATAACGCCATCCAGTGACAAAAACAAGACCTATTCAGTTCAGTATGTGCCAAGGGTTACTGGACCTCACAAGGTAGGTTGGGTGTCAGTAACCAGTGCTCTTTCACTAAGTGAGCTGCTCCACTGGTTGTTAATGTGAGCCCCTGAGGACTGCCTCTTTAGTGACAGTGTCACAGCCACTCCGGGCATCCTGAAGAAAAGGTAACCTGATGTGGCCTCGGTCCTCAGTCTGGGCTATTGGGCTGCACCCTCTTCAAGGAGGAAGAGGGGGTGTGTTGGGAGAAAGTGCATGGGCATTTGGGTATCAAGTGCTACAGCTGGCTCTCCTCTCACATGGGGCCACTTCTTGCAGCTCATGAAGCTGGTTTTGTGGATTATCAGAGTCACAGAGTAAAGTACCAGTTTGTTTCTGTAAGGTGTTTCTTTGCTGCTGATATTGTCTGCCATAGGGGTTTTGCAGAGAAGGTTTCCCCACACATGTGCCTGCAGAAGCAGGTTTATGATGGGTGATCCCATTGCTTGGCAGCTGCCTGAGTGGCTGGTCCCCACAGCCAGCCTGGAACAGTAACTGCAACTTCTGCTGCCGCTTCGTTGCTGGATGGTCATCTCCCTTTTATTGGCACATCCAGATTCAAGCATCCTCACTGGTGGGGCTGGCCCCATGATGTGTAGCACTTTAAGGAGTTGGCCGAGCAGTTACACTGCGTGGACAGGATGAAGGTTGTGGGATGGATGGTTTCTCTCATCTCTGAGGCATAGACTCTGCGCTAGGAGTGCAGGTGCTTCACCCTTTGCTCGGCTACGCGATAGTGACACTGAGCTCTGCCTCTGCCTGGTGGGTCTGTCTCTAGGTTTCGGTCCTGTTTGCTGGGCAGCACATCTCAAAGAGCCCATTTGAAGTGAATGTTGACAAAGCCCAGGGAGATGCGAGCAAAGTAACAGCAAAGGGACCAGGACTGGAGGCAACAGGGAACATTGCCAACAAGCCTACCTACTTTGACCTCTACACAGCAGGTAAGCAGGATGAATGAGTGCCTAAATCCTGTGGCTTCCTCAAGCGTGAGGAGAACCTAAGCCACTGAAAAATGGATGAGGATTTGCAGCCCCATCAAGTGTAGGGGTGAAATAGTAGCCAAGCAGCTCTGAAGGCTTCAGCTGTGTATGAAACATTTGAAGTCTGGAGCTGAGCTGGGGCAAGAAGGTGCTAAGGCATTACTCAGAAATTTGCCATGACCTTGCTGAATGGCAGCAGCCAAGTTCCTGGCTGGCTTCTTCCCCCAACTCATTTTAAACAGGAGTGTGAAATGCCCACCTCTGAAGGATGAACTGTGAGTAAACTGTAAACGCGTAGTGTGTTCTGAATTTAGTTTTACAGAAAGAACCTGCTGCAGTGCTACTTTGAGTTCATACTTCAGTGATGAACTGGTTTCAGCCTCTCTTGTATTTATTGGAGGGCTACTATCTTCATTAGGGCATCTCCATCATGTGGCTTGTTGCCTGCCACTAGGCCAATGCTGTAGCCTAGAGAAGTGAGTCAAAAAGATGCTGCAAATGCTAATTCATTTAGAACAATGCGAAACTACTTAGAGCTGTTACTTGAAGTATTTAAACACTGAAATATGCTGAGTAGCATATTTTAAATTGCCCTCTGCCTGAGGGTGCTTAGAAATAAAATTAAATGTGGTTATAGTGAGGGGAAGTGTTATGCTCAGCCTCTAATTGGGAGAGGGAGTGGCCTGAATCATGTAAAGACATGTCTGGCCTCTGACAGTGGCTGGAAAACTGTTCTTGTTGCATGGTGAGTTGAATAAAATGTGAGAGGAGCAGGTGTCTGAACAAAAGTGGGTACGTATAGTCCAGGAGAGAGGGATCCTTGTCCAGACCAACGTGCACGTTGTCTGAGCTGTCAATGTAAACCTCTTCAAAGATTGAGAGATTGAACTGACTGGTGAAGTTGTGGACCAGTCTGTGATAGAGCTGCTACAGGGTGGTCGCAGTAGGGTAACCAGGCTGTGTGTGTGTGTTCAGTGCTGTAATGCTGGTGTGAAACCCTGTGGGTTGAGCAGCAAAGCTCTGCCAGCTTAATGGCTTCATGGGGATGGGACCATCCTGTCTTGTCCCCTCCTCACTTGAATGTCTGGTTGCTGTCAGCAGAAGCTGAATGTTTAGGCTGTGCCTAGAGCTGATAGCAGGGGATAGCTGGCTGGGGCCCTAAATGCAGTGTGTGTTGCTGTGGGGGAACCAAGGCTCAGCTGGGCTCTTTTTCTTTGCAGGTGCTGGTGTGGGTGACGTGAACGTGGAAGTGGAGGATCCTCAGGGGAGAAGCATTGCTGAAGTTGTAGTAGAAGACAAAGGCAACCAAGTCTACCGCTGCACCTACAAGCCTGTTCAAGCTGGTCCTCACATTGTCAAAGTGACTTTTGCTGGGGAGGCAATTCCTAAAACTCCTTGCACTGTTCTCATTGGAGAGGGTATGCTTTTTAAAAATGCACCTAAATGTAGATTTCACCTGGGATGTAATTACAGAATGTGTTTGAATCTTGCCTTGAACTTTCTCTGTACCTTTCAGTATCTTAGACCTGATTCAGTGAGTCACCTGGGCATTGACAGGGTAAAACAGTGCTCTCTAACAGTAATGCAGCTTTTGTTGCTAGATTTTCCTTTCTGCCTAGACCTCCAAACGTTAAGCTGCGCTTTGTATTTTTTTGAAGTATTTTATGCAGCTATGCAGTGTCTTGCTGTTTTCCACCTTTGTTCCTCAGGTGACTATATTTACTGTTTTCCTCCTTAACTGACACCTAACTTGCTTTCTGTTCCATCCTGACGTGCTCCTACGCTTTTTAGATCTCTGCTCATCTCTCCTGAGCTACCCTCCATTTGTGGAATTTTGGACTTCACTGCTAATGGCTTCATAGTTGGTAAGAGGTGTGCAGGATGCTCCGTCATGTTTGCTTTTCGTAAGCTTCTAGCCTGCAGCTTGTCCTGGCCAAAAGGGGTTTTGGTTTTGTTTGGGGTGTGGGAGAAAAGCCACAAGCAAAGTGAAGCGGTGTGAGACCCCCGTCAGTGAAACTGGCTTCCCTACAAGCTGCCTGACTCGGCTGCGTGAGAGCTCTGCGAGCCGCCCCCACTTCACGTTAGGCATGCTTCCCTGTGCTCCCGCCGAGGTTTTGGAGCTAGCAGATGGCATGTGACCTTTGCTGACACTGTCCAGTGCAGGAGGTGGAGCGATGTTGGCTGCTGCAGGGGTGAGGGTAAAACTTGTCAGCTTTTGAAATGAGTGAAAAACTAAAGAGCTGCTTGGCAGACTTGTGCTCCTGCTGCAAGCACGGCATCTTTTGGGGAAATGCATGTCGGGATTACACTGCTGGGGAGCTGTGGTTATTTGTAAGTCTCTACAGACCCTTCAAGTCTCTGGAGTTGAAGACCACATGATAGCTGGGATTGTGTAACAAAACTGTTCTTAAGTACGCATTAGCTTATTTACACAGCCACTCTGCAGGCCTGGAGAAGTGCTTGGAGTAAAGGGGTCAAGCATAAGCTCAAGCTCAGCCATACTGAGCCTACTGCCCCGACCCACGGCTGCTTTGGTCTGCAGAGGGCTCAATGGCTTTGCTTCTGAAAGTGTGAACTGTGACAAATGGGGTTTAGACGTGACATCTCTTAACGAAGCACACATGCAGAACTCGTCTCTGCAGGTAGCAGCTATTCCAGTCATGTGCCTCTGAAAGCACAGCACAGTAATACTGTTCACTGGGGCTTATCTGCAGTTGGGAACTTCACCCCACACTGCAGCATTCCTCTCAATGCGAAAGGCATCAAGAAGATTGTGCCTAGTACGGTGAATATCTGTACGTGATAGTTCTTGTACTGATAACTAGCATCAAATTGGAAAGCAACAGAGCTTTAATTCTAAAAAACGGTCCTTATAGCGGGTCAGTGCAGCTTGGCTGCACCAAACACTACTGCCCAAAAGCCATAGGACATAGGCAACAGCAGGGCAGACTCCATGTCTGTCTGCCTTAATGCTGGAATGTTAAAACGTATGCCGAAAGCTGAGCTGTGGTTGTCCTGAGTCAACATTAAACTAAAGGTTGTTCCAGGCTGGCTGGGCTACATGTATGTTGAGTCTCAAAGGGTGTATTGATGTCTGAAATTCCCTTGCAGCCTGCAACCCGAATGCGTGTCGTGCCACCGGCAGAGGTCTGCAGCCCAAGGGCGTCCGCATGAGGGAAACGGCTGACTTCAAGGTTGATACGAGAGCAGCGGGGAGCGGAGATCTCGGAGTCACTATAAAGGGACCGAGTAAGTGCTGGAGTGAATTGGTGCTGTGGATGCATTTTGGGGAAAGAGGAGAAGTGGAGACTGTGCAAGAGCAGTAAGGAAATGGTGGCCTGATAGAACTGATAGGAATTTTATCCCCATTTAAAAAAACCCATTAAACAAAACCAACCAACCAAAACGGAACAAAAAAATCCCACCACAACTAACACATTTCAGAAAGGTTTTCTGGAGCTCTGTGTCTAGAGTGAAGGCTTCAATCTACAGGGTTGGGTGAGGTTACATGTGTTTTTAGGTTTCTCCATTTTAATGCATATTGGTTAGTAAAACAAAAAATCCATCAGCCTGCCTGCTGTGGCCTCCAAGCTTTATGAGTTCACTTTGCATCTTCATCTGATCTGTGGGAGCAAGTCACGCTCCAGGGTCTCTGGCAGGGTGGAAATCCTGCTCCTGTGAAGCTAGGAAAGGCTCAGAGCAGCACTCTAGGCTGCACTGGGTGCTCGGGCCCATGACCAGGGGTTGAGGGAACCTGTAGGCTGACATGAAGCCCTTCTGCCAGGATCCATCCCCAGGTCATTTGCTGTGTCCCTCTGTCCCGATCACAGCAGGCTGGGGCAGTGGGAGCACCAGTGGCCGCTGGCTTGTGGCGAGCTCCTGGGGCTGCTTGCAGTGGTGGTGGGGGGGCTGCAGCTCTCAGGATGCTCTCAGGGAGCTGCTGTGCTCGTGAGCCGCTCACCTCCGCCCGGCTGGGACGGCATTAAAAGGTGCATTGTGTTGCCTTCACCTCCTCCACATGCACAGTGCCCCAACTGTGTGGCTCAGTGCGGGTGCAGGGTGGAAAAACAACAGACGTATCGATGTAAATTTTAGCGTATTAAGCTTTTCTCTCTAAATTCTTCATCTTGAAGAAAATGAAAAATAGGCATTCCCTGCATGCTTGTGGTTGCAAAGTCTGACAAATGTTAAGCTTTTTTGTTTTAACATATGACATGCATCATACTGCAGACTAAGAAAATAAAACATAAGGGAACCTATTAAGTCTGGTAACTTAAAATACTTTCTGCTGTATTTCTTCTGGAAGTGTTTGCTGTCTTTGTCCTAGAGGGCAACTAGAACTAACTTCCCCTATAACCTGACCTTTTTTTCTCTGGTGGAAGAAATTTATTCTTGCAAGCTAAAATAAATACTAGAAAACATGAACTTGTCTGAGTAATTGAAGGCAGGATGGAAGCTGTTAAGTTTAATGCTGAACTGATCTTTCAACAGAGGGCTTGGAGGAGCTGGTGAAACAAAAAGGCTTTATGGATGGTGTGTATGCCTTTGAATATTATCCAGCTACCCCAGGGAAGTACGTTGTCACGATTACATGGGGAGGGCACAACATCCCAAAAAGGTGAGTTGGAAGTAACTTTTTTGGAGATTTTGCCCTTTGGTGGGTTGTGTACTTGATGGGCTTTGAAGAAGCTCTGACAAAGTTAACAGCAAGAAGTTGCTGTGACAGTTTGCCTATGGCCTGTTTTAAGGCTGCAGTGGCTTATGTTGGAAAAGCTTTGAGTGATTTGCATCAGCCTTGCTAAACCCAAAATGATGAATACAAAAAGTAATAAAATTTGGTGGATCGCGCAGCTTAGATTTCGTTGTGAGTTTTTAAAGAGATCTGTTATTTTGGTGTCCAGGGCTACAGCCAGCAGCACAAGCCAGATATTTCACACTTGATTTGTGGTGCAAAATGCAAGCACGTGATGGGTTGGATGACCTCTCTGCTAGAAAGACAGTCCGCTGGGCACTGTGCCACCACATGATGGCTTCTGTTAATTTGGGAAATCCGATGTAAAAACTCATTACGATGCCTGTGGAAAAACATGGATGCTATGGATGCTGTGTCTGTCCTCGTTTCTAATCCTGTGCTTTGCTTTTCCTCTCATAGCCCCTTTGAAGTTCAAGTGGGTCACGAAGCAGGTCCTCAGAAAGTGCGAGCCTGGGGGCCAGGACTGCATGAGGGGATTGTGGGCAAATCTGCTGATTTCATGGTAGAGTCCATTGGCACAGAAGTTGGCTCTCTTGGTATGTCACTTCACTTAGTTTGCCGGAAATATTTATATATTGCAATGCTAGCAATGAACTAATGAGAAATAGCTTTCCCAGCAGTAGAGAAAGAAGTCTGTAACACATTCTGGTCTAAATATAAACTTATGTCAGAGTATCAAAGGCAAGTCATAGAGACAGGAATGTGTATGATGGGGAGTGTTAATCTGTGGTTTTTTTGGATGAGATCCAGAAGGGAATGATGGATTCTGTCCTATATTGCTGAAGAAGGGTGACAGAGCATCAGTTGTGGCTGTGGCTCATAAAAAGCATTTTGGGAAAATGCTGTTAAATTAGCAGCCACCACAAAACTAACACAAGGAACCTACTTGTTCTTTTTTCAGGCTTCGCAATAGAAGGCCCTTCTCAGGCTAAAATTGAGTGTGATGACAAAAACGATGGCTCATGCGATGTGAAGTATTGGCCCAAAGAGCCCGGTGAATATGCCGTGCACATCATGTGCGATGATGAGGACATAAAAGACAGCCCTTTCATGGCCCTCATCCAACCGGCTTCAGGAGACTTCAACCCAGATAAGGTGGTGTATAGGAGCTCACCCATGGCATAGCACATCTTTGATACGTTTTGAGATGTTTCTGAAGGCTTCTGGTAACAGACTTGACTCTTAAGCTGCCTCTGCTTAAAGCTCTGAATTTGCTGTGCTCCAGTCAGATATTCACAGAATCACAGACTGTTAGGAGTTGGAAGGGCCGTCAAAAGCTCATCCAGTCCAACCCCTGCCAGAGCAGGATCACCCAGACCAGGTCACACAGGAACACGTCCAGGCGGGTTTTGAATGTCTGCAGAGAAGGACACTCCACAACCTCTCTGGACAGCCTGTTCTGTCAACCTTGCAGTAAAAAAGCTTTTCCTTATGTTCACATTGAACCTCCTGTGCTCCAGGTTTTTCTAATGTTTTTCTATAATAATTTTTCTATATTTTTTTAAACTATTTATTATTATTTCTATAATAATTTTTGTATGCTCAGCTTTTTCTAATAATGCTGTTGTGGTTCTGATGTAATGTAATGAAAACTTGCTGAATTAGTCCAAATTCTTAACTTTCACACTAGCCTGTACTTGCATCCCATGCTTCATGGGTTCTGTGGGAAGAGGAAGGTCTTTAGAAAAAGATCACTTACTTTTGCTTCTCTTTCTGAACTGCAAGCTGAGACTCTTTAGGTGTGTTTTTTAGGTGAAGGCTTATGGCCCAGGCCTGGAGAGGACAGGCTGTATAGTGAACAATCCTGCTGAGTTTACAATTGAAACCAAGGATGCTGGGAAAGCGCCTCTGAAGATGTATGCACAGGTAAAAAGCCAAAGGCAGTTATGTGAAACTTTAGCAAAAGGTGTTTAATACTGTTGAGAAAAATGCCTTAAGTATTTCTGCTCACTTACACATCACTTAATTCTGGGCATGTGTAATTCTCCCAAAGCTCTGTGCTTTGATCTGTGTAATGCAGTCAGGCAGCAAAACCAACTCAAGACTAGGTGACTTCTCCCTGGCATATGAAATACATGGCTTTGCTTCTTCACTTGGAGTCTCCTGAGCAAAGCAAGCTGTAATTTCCTGGAGCTGTCATTTGGAAGCACCCAAAGTGTCTCTGAACCTGTGAATCTCGGGCAAGCTTGTTAAAATATGTCTTGTGGAATGGTGTTAGAAATAAGTGAGTGCTAGATGAGGAGGACTTACAGGAGTGTAATTTGCATGTCTCTTCAGCATTTCTGAGCTGCAGTTCTGGAAAAGAACCCACATTTTTGAACAGTCGTCGGCTGTTCAAATAATACAAATACTTTTAAAGTACCTGAACCTTCTGCTTGTATTGCTGCTTTTTAGGATGGAGAAGGAAACCCCATTGATATCCAGATAAAGAGCAAGCCTGACGGTGTGTTTGTCTGTTCCTATGTGCCAGTTAAACCAATCAAACATACAATTTCTGTTGTCTGGGGAGGAGCCAATGTGCCCAATAGCCCATTTAGGGTAAGTACAGAGATGGATATTACTGGTTGTAGCTAAGTAGGATGTTCATGCTCACAACTTCTTGTTGTTACAACTAGGATAATAAAACCCTCCTGTGAATTTCAAGGACATCTGCCCTTCTGCTGCCTTTTTTAGGAACCTATCCACTTGAAAAAAAGCTTTCTGCATTTACAAACTCACAAGTTGGAAGTGTCTTGTGAGTCCAGCTGCAGCCTGGGAGATCTGGGGCAATTAGTAATTGGCCAAGTAATGCTCAGACTTAGCTGTGATCTGGAGCGTGACACAAATGTGTAATTCTGACCCTTGTGAATCCATGTAGGTCATTATAGGTCAAGGGAGTCATCCTCAGAAAGTGAAAGTGTTTGGTCCTGGTGTGGACAGAACTGGTCTGAAGGCGAACGAGCCGACCCACTTCACTGTTGACTGCACGGATGCGGGGGAAGGTAAAGGCAGGCTGGGCTGTTGCTGTGGTATCAGAACCACACGCGTGGTGGGGGGTTATGGTACTGCTTCATGCTGATTTTCCTTTTTTCCTGGAAAAACCTTGGGTAGCAGAACATAACAGTGAATTGTGATGTGATCTGCTGCATCAATTAACGAGGTGACTTGAGCAACCACTGGAAATGTGAACGTGCTGGCTGTTTGGTTAGCATCGTCTGTACTGTCTGATAGCAAAATCTCATTTGCTTTTCCTAGGTGATGTCAGCGTTGGAATTAAGTGTGATGCTCGTGTGGTTAGCGATGAGGAAGAAGACATAGATTTCGACATCATCCACAATGCTAATGATACGTTCACAGTGAAATACGCGCCGCCTGCTGCTGGGCGCTACACTATTAAAGTGCTTTTTGCAGGACAGGTTTGTAATCTTTGTTTTACAGCCTGATGTTTCTCGATTCTGTTTATCTGCTCCTTGATCACCGAGCACTTGCCACTCCAGCTGACTGTGGTGGCTTAAGCTGGCTCCTTCCGTTCTGGCTTATGTGCACCTTGTCTGATCACTGTTTGTAAAAACACTCTTGTAGTACTTCATAAGGTACACAAATGAGAGGGGTTGGCAGAAGCTACTTTCTAAAGGAGAGAAAACCTAAGTGACTTTCCACGGAGAGTAAGTTTTCCTTAAAGAAAAGAAGGGGGAGAGGCCCCTGCAAACCATCCAGCTGTTAACTTTGCTCTAGAATTTGAATGATACTGCTTAAGGCAGAGCAGAGTGCTGAAGCAGGGTGAAATTTTACTCAAGGTGGTGGTGGAATTAAAGCAGAAGTTTCTTAAAATTATTATCTGTCTGGTTTGGTCTAGCGAAGAGTGACCTGGTCATGTTTAGAGCTGTGTTTCTGTTGCAGGAAATTCCTGCCAGCCCATTCAGGGTTAAAGTGGACCCCTCGCATGATGCCAGCAAAGTGAAAGCTGAAGGACCTGGGCTGAGCAAAACTGGTGAGACCTGGGTTGAGGTGGTGTGGCCAGTGCTGGCCCATGAGGGGTTGTTGTGGGGTAGCCACTGCCGGGCTGAGCATTGCTGGGATGCACGATGCAGTGCTGGATACAGCTGGATGGGGTGCCAGGCGACTGGAAATGACTCTCTTCCCTTGGCATTTTGCTTGACTGGGCTTTATAGGTATCGAGTGCTTCTTGGGAAGAGTTTCTGTGTGCGAGCTCTGCATAAATTAGAATTAACATTTTTCTTCAGGCGTGGAAAACGGGAAGCCAACACACTTCACTGTGTTCACCAAGGGAGCAGGAAAAGCACCGTTGGATGTGCAGTTCAGCAGCCCAGTGCCGGGAGAGGTGGTGACAGATCTGGATATCATTGACAACTATGACTATTCCCACACGGTTAGGTACACTCCCATACAGCAGGTAGGTTTGACTCCCGTAGGAATACAGGGGTGAATGGCTCATGTTGCTGTAATGCAGTGAACTCCCTCCCTGGTACCCATGCACAGAGGAGTGAGGAGATAAAACTTACCAGGATGTAGTGTTCCCTGGGATCCTTGCAGGACAACTGGGATTGGAAATCAGTAATGCAGTTCTCTGGTGTGGTTATTGATAGCTTGTCACTGTTTTCTTTCTGGGAACAAGTGAGATACTGAAGCAGTGGCGCACAGCTCATGTTGTCCTTCCACACCTTATCAGTTGAAGAGGGAAGGTGGCAAACCTTCCTGGGGTCCAAAATGGGGCTGGCTGCTGCACCGGCTGTGCAGGGCTGCTGTGGAGTCAGGGCTGGGGGGTGCCAGCTCTCAGCAAGCTGCTGTTGCCAAAGGGGCTGTAGCGCAAACCAGAGCAGGGACAGAAGGCCAGCATTCGGGAGGTGGTGCAGCAGCTTCCTGGTAGAAAAGTGAAGGAGCTGGTGCTGAGGAGAGAGACTGGGCAGCAGATTAAATGTGTCAAAGTATTTGTCTGTATTTGAGGTTTGCCCTTCAGTTGGAAAAAATTTGAGTCTAACTCATTTTGGTTCACAGACAGATCCTTCCTAGCAACGCCATTAAAGAGCTGAGAGTAGAAGCTGCTAATAACTAGAAGTATTTTTCCTTATGCTGTGCTTGCATGTTTGTGAAGGAGCATTGAATGCCAGAATGCACGAATCTCATGTATTTCTGAAGATGTAGGTGCTGTAGTGCTGAGATGAAAGTATTTTGCTGCTCTTGCTCTGCTGAACAAACACAGGAGCTACTGGTCATCTGCACCAGCTTCCTTGAACGTAGCTGTGTGAAAGTGCGCTGATGTGAAGGACTGCAGCATTATTTATCTGATGATGCCGGTTTAGCATTCTTGGAAGCACCATAGAGCTAGCATTTGGTTTTGGATAGAGCAGTTGCATGATCTCAGGATGTGGCTGGCGTGCCTGTTTGGAGAAGCTTTTGCTTGTTCAGTCAGGGTTGGTATGCAGAAGGGAGCAAAGTCGTCTGAACTCTGCATACGTGTGTGTGAGCAGTACCAGATTGCTGCGTTTCACATGGAAAGCCATGGTCAAACAAGCCAGGATGCCCCAACCAGGCTTGCTACTTGGGTCTCCCATCTGGAGGAGAACCTTGGGTCACAGAGGAGCTGTGGACTTAACAGGAGATGCTTGCAGATAGCAGAGGCAGGAAAGCAGTGGTTTGAAAAAGGTGATGAAAATGGACTGCACAGTAATTAGAAGAGCCTTGTTGTCCCTTCAGGCTGCAAGCATGTAGGTTGTTTCTGGACCCTGTTTTTCTCAGGTTTGTAAGTAGTAGCTTGCGAATGAGACTCTGGACCCTTCAGAGCTGGGGGGAAGATGGATTAGGTAGTTAAATTCCTGAGGGGCCACGTCAGCAGCAGAGAAACCTTGGTTTAATGTTGTTTACTCAGCCTTATCTCTCTCTCTTGCGGTGTTGCTACAGCTACCCGTGTGTGTGTTTTCTAAAAACAACCAAGAATAATCATGGAAGCTATTCGCTAACTTGCGTGAAACATCCATGATTATTTCACTTGGGAGCTGAACTGGCCAAGAACGAAAAGTAAGCAAACAGTGAATATAGCTAAAATATGGACCGTGGTAGGAGAGAATAAAAGGAGCACACATCATGGGCTGGAACTTGCCATGGCTGTGCAGTATTCCTGCCAAAATACACAAGAGCATTAATCTTCCTGACTTGTACAGCTTAAAACACTGGTATTTCAAGTGCAGTAATAATATGGCCTCTTTGCAGGCTTGGCTTTGTCCTGGCCTCTCCTTGTGGTGGAAGGGGATACCTGGTCTGGAGCGCTGGGACATCCATTCAGCTGTCGGGGCTGAGCACGCAGGGTGGGAGCCAGCCTGAGCCAGGGGTTTTGCCAGGCAAATTGAATATAATCTAGTTAAATAGTGGAAAGAACTGTCCCTTTCTTCCTGCATTAAATAAAAACCATTTAATGCTTTGAAGGGCTGGAGTGGGTTGAGAGCTTGAAAATCCGTAAGCCAGTAAGTTTGGCTGTCGTCAGCTAAAATGGATTAGGTGAAGTGGTTTGTGTGCTGCTAGGATGTTAGTGCATCTATGTGAAGTGAGGAACTGAGCTAACTTGTACATTCTCCAACTAGGGGCCAATGAAGGTGTTGGTAACATACGGTGGTGATCCTATCCCTAAAAGCCCTTTCACTGTGGGTGTTGCTGCTCCGCTAGACCTGAGTAAAGTTAAAGTCAATGGACTCGAGAACAGTAAGTACCTCTGGCTGGAAGCCCCATAGCCTGCATCTGAAGTGTCTCCTGAGCCTGTGGTAGCTGACACGTTCTGCTGCAACAGATGTGGGCAAAACAGACTTCTTTTTTAACTTGCTATAGCTGGGGAGCAGCCAGCTCCAACTTTATAGCTTGACCACCTTGTCTTAGCTGGTCCTCTTGAAAACTGAATTTCAATTTAGATTGTTTTTTTTCCCAAAGATTACATAGCAATTGTGGTGAGCAGAGCTAGACTCCTCACCAGGCTGGGCATCTGCTGATGAAATCTGGTTTCCTTGGGGCTAGATGGCTGTTTGTTCAAATAAATGTAATTGCTGTGGTGCAGAATTTCATTCATACGGTCGCTTTGTTTTCTAAAAGTGGAAGAACTTAGGGCTGTGAAATATTGTTGCATTCCTGAAATGAGCCTCTGATACTGTCGGGCCATGTCTTACAGGCTTTGCTGTAGCTTTGTAGCTTCCAATTAACCGTAGCACTTGTTTGTTTTGGTTTTTTTTGTTTGGTTTAACAGGTTTTTTTGCATGCAGAGGAGTGCAGACTGAGCAGAGGTCTGCCAGTGCTTGCTCCCTTGGTGATAAGTGCATGAGAGATTTCTTGGAACACAGATGCTGAGTACTCAACACACTAATACGGGTTTTATCTTTTTCAGGAGTGGAAGTAGGGAAGGATCAGGAATTTGTAATTGACACCAAAGGAGCTGGTGGGCAAGGTAAACTGGATGTCAGTATTTCCAGTCCTATGAGGAAATCTGTGCCGTGTCTAGTGGAACCAGTTCTGGGTAAGGAGTGCAGTACTGCAAAATACATCCCAAGGGAAGAAGGACTGTACATGGTGGATGTGAGTTATGATGGCAACCCAGTCCCAGGGAGCCCCTATACTGTGGAGGCCATGCTCCCTCCAGATCCCTCCAAGGTAAGCGAATGCTTTAGGGCTGTAACAGCAGCTGATACCTGAAAACAGAACTGTGGGCTATTGCATGAGACCAGGCTTGGTTTTGGCTAAACCAGACCCAGGAACATCCCAGAGCACTGAGTCATTCCTTTTGCATACTCCATGACTCATGGAAGTAATTTTTATAACGCTATACTTGGAAAAACATTGAATGCATTAAGAATACTGCAAGCATCCTGCATAGTGTGGCAAATACAAGTGTTGCTCCTAATTTAATAGAAGTTGGCCTGGTGAACATGTTGGTTGTATTAATTGAGCTTATTCTTTCTAAGGAAATAGATTTCAAGAGAAACGTGTATAGCCATTAAATATTTTACCTTTTCTACCTTTTATATCTGTGGGTACACAAAACCAGCTATGGCGAGATTATTGCTATCCTTGCTTAGAAACCTCTTTAGTGGAGAGATACCAACTTTACAATAAAACTGGGAGGAGTGGCAGAGGAGGATTTTCATTCTGTGTATTTTTTTAAGAGCTTGTTAATCAAGTCCCACATACAAACTAGTCTAACTAGGCAGTCTGTGCTGGCAAAAAACTCACAAAAAGGTGAGTTTATCTCAACTGCATATTCTCTTCTAGGTAAAAGCTCATGGTCCTGGTCTTCGAGGGGGCCTCGTTGGAAAACCAGCCCAGTTCACAATAGATACCAAAGGGGCAGGAACTGGAGGTTTGGGTTTGACGGTCGAAGGCCCGTGTGAAGCTAAAATTGAATGCTCGGACAATGGTGATGGGACCTGCTCTGTCTCCTACCTGCCTACGAAGCCTGGAGAGTATTTCGTGAACATCCTCTTTGAAGAAGTTCACATTCCTGGTTCGCCGTTTAAGGCAGACATAGAAATGCCATTTGATGTCTCTAAAGTTGTTGCCACGGGCCCGGGTCTGGAACGTGGTAAAGTAGGCGAGGCAGGGCTGCTGAACGTCGACTGCACAGAGGCAGGTCCTGGAGACCTGCGAGTGGACATGGTGTCAGATGCTGGCTCTAAAGCTGAGGTCCAGGTTGATGATAACAAAGATGGGACCTATGTAGTGACGTATGTACCACTCTCGGCGGGCATGTACACAATCAAGATGAGATATGGAGGTGAACAAGTGCCTAAATTCCCAGCCCGGGTCAAAGTGGAGCCAGCTGTGGACACAAGCAGAGTTAAAGTGTTTGGACCAGGAGTGGAAGGGAAAGGTGAGAATAATTCTTGTTATCGGAGTTTGTAGGACTTGCAGTCCTTTATCCCACACAGAGTATGCTGAGCATTAAAAAGTGTAGTAGCCTTGCGTGTTCCCATGGTGACCCTTGGGCGGGGGTGTTTCGTTATGTTTCCAAATGAGTTGTTTATCATGCTGCTGATTCACAGAATGTTTTGTCATTGGAAATACACACACTTCTCGAAGTGACTTCTCAAAACGTATCCTGCAGATGTCTTCCGAGAAGCTACAACTGAGTTCACTGTGGACGCTCGACCTCTAACAAAGGCTGGCGGTGACCACATCAGAATGCAGATCATGAGCCCGTCCGGCTCCCCCGCCGACTGTCTCATCCAGGACAATGCCGATGGAACGTATTCAGTAGAGTACACGCCGTTTGAAAAGGGTAACCTCTGCTTTTATGTTGGGTTTTTTGTTTGGTTTTTTTTTTACTTGAGAGGGGAAAACCGAGAGCAGGCAGCTCTTCTGACACTTAGTTTGGCAAACTGCTGAGGTCTGCCAGTAACTTGTTGGCATCTTAGCAAAATGTTTGCCAGTGGAGGAGCTAATTCTGCGGGAAGTAGCTCTATTTCAACGCAAAGAACTGACTTTTACGGTAACTTGGCTTCAGAAAAACAGTGCCTAGATGGCAGCTCAGTTATGAAACACTAGTGAAGTCCTGTGAAATGCAGGAGGAAGCTCTTACCCATGTGCTGACATTGTAACATCTTGTAGAAGTGATGTTAAGTAACGAGGATGTTTAGGGAATTCGGAATGTCTTTTCCTCCTCTGATAGGTCCGCACACAGTCAGCGTTACGTACGATGGTGTCCCTGTGCCAAAGAGTCCCTTCAGAGTGAATGTGACAGAGGGCTGCCATCCATCGCGTGTGAAGGCACAAGGACCTGGACTCAGTGAAGCTTTCACAAATCAGCCAAACGCCTTTTCCGTTGTCACCAGGTAACTGGGCCTACTTGATCCTTAAGGAATATCTGTGGGAGGGAGGAGTCTAGTGCGCTCTGTGATGCAGGATGCTAAACCCAGTACAAATATCTATGAAAAGGTCAAGCTGTGTCCTTTTGTTTACTGTGTGTGGTACCACATCACGTACTGAGCGCTCTGTTCTGCAGAGATTAGGGGTTGATAGTGGCTGAGGATAAAATTCTATGAAAACGTGAGTGAAGTTATGCTGAAGGGCTTTGCATGCCATAGCACACTGAAGACCAGACATCAGAAGTCGGGTTACTGCATTTCCAGTATGGGTGAAAATGCAGCCAGAGCATGCGAGGGCTATAAAGCTGCTGTTGAAAGCAGGTAATTCTAAAAATGTGTGTTTCTGTCTTGCAGAGGGGCAGGAATTGGTGGCCTTGGAATAACTGTTGAAGGACCTTCAGAGTCCAAAATCAGCTGTAAAGATAACAAGGATGGGAGCTGCAGTGCTGAGTACATTCCTTATGTTCCAGGAGACTACGATGTTAACATCACATATGGGGGAGAACATATTCCTGGTAAGTGGCTCAGTGGGCTTTCAGAAGAGGGAAGGTGTTGAGTGAAGGACTTGGTGCCTTGGCTGCATCTCACTCGTGCTGGGGGATGTTGCAGGAAGTTGAAACCTCTTTTCCTGGGAATTCAGGCAAAAACAGCGATGGCAATTGTTCCTCACACCCGTCAGGGAGGTGTGGAGCACTTTGTGCTATGGTGTGGTAGTTTTGAGGAAGGGCTGCAGTCTCTTCTCATTTCTGAAATGCCCTCTGGGTACATGGAGAAGCCTTGTTGAGATGGTCGTACCCACGGTGGGGAACAAAAGAGTGGGTACAGATGGATGGGACAGATATAAACCCTTGGCAAATAACTGGGATTAGGCACAAGTGGTGTATAATACATTAAGTCAAGAAAATAGCTGTTTGGTATATGGATGCCTTCAAGACTCCCTTCTGCAGTAAGATGGTCTTAATGGGTGAGCTTGTCATGGGGATTATATTAAACACTACAAGTTTTGGTCACTGTGGAAAGAGCAGTAGATGTTGCCTAAACCAGACGTTTACCTGTGTATGCATTTGCACTGGATATTAAGCTGAAGTGATGTAGGTTTAAGGAATGTTCCAGATACATCTGCCATCCAGCAGTTCACAATTTAAAGAAGGATACTTTGCTTGATACCAAGAATTAAATGCTCCTAAATACAAGACATGTTTTGCTGCCATGTTCAAGTTCTTAGGTGCTGTCCTGCAGCATACACCAGGTATTCTTTCCTGGATGTTGTAAGACTGTTCTTTCCCATTGGTCCCATTTTATTTGTCAACATACTGAACTGGATAAAACATGAAGGAAACAAGCGCTTATATGATGCTTCATTTGCCCTTCTGGTTTCTTTCACGCATTTTTTTTTTCCTGAGGTGTGAGAAGCAGACGGATCACAACTGAATTGTTGAGTAGACAGTGAAAATGTAGAAGCACTATCTGGCACTTCTGGTTTTTACAGAAGCAAAGTAGTATGGAGGCAGTGGGGTTGTTGTTCCTGCCTGAGGTTGAGAGATAGTAAAAAAAGCCCAAGGATAAGTAGGGGAAAAGACCTTTGGTTCCCTGTAGCTATTACCTCTGTGGTGTTTAACACTTGCTGCATTAACTTCCAGGCAGTCCTTTCAAGGTTCCTGTGAAGGATGTTGTGGATCCCAGCAAGGTGAAGATTGCAGGACCAGGTCTGGGAACAGCTGTTCGAGCTAAAATCCCACAGTCCTTCACTGTAGACACCAGCAAGGCAGGAGTAGCACCCCTCGAGGTGGTAGTGGCAGGACCCAGAGGTAAGAACTGAAGTACTCCATCCAGCTGTGCCCCCGTCTCTGCATTTGGGTGGGTAACATGGTCCTGGCCCTGCTTGCAAAGGTGATGATGCCACTTGAATGAGCATTTCCCTCTCTTCCTGTTTATCCGGCGTGTGCACCTTGATGGCTGACCCATATGTCGTGCTGTAAAAGGAAAATGGTGTCCTCGGTAGTGCTGCTTTGGGCAGTGTCGTTGATGACTTCATCCTAATCTTCAGAGCTGGGAGAAGTGACATGAGTAACCATCACTGGGGAACAATTGTGGCTTACATTTAGACATGAAAAAGTAAATCCAAAGTCTCACACATGAATGGTGGCTTGGGAAACCCATGTCACTGAGTTGCAGGAGTCTTTCAAGTATGGTGGAACCCCTCAAAGAGCAGCAAGAGCCTCCAGCAATAGGGTTAATGATGTTTGCATTACCTGGGGAAGCCGTGTCTCAGTATCTTGGCAGCAAGTACTTTTTGGCTGCAAGCCTCACCTTGCTGGGAGACAGGAGCTGCTTCCCCACTCGAGTTTCAGGTGCAGATGCCCTTCAGGTAACCCTTCTTTAACTGTAGTGGATGAGACGGATTCCCAGGGATGGCATTCCCCACTGAAAGCAGTTTCGGATTTCTTTAAAGGTGATCGAAAGGGCGACACTGAGACAGGTTTGAACTCTCATTAGCTACCAGAAATTTTGGCGCTTGGAAAGCCAATTGGCAACAGCAAGAATGATCTGGAGAAAGAAGTGGGAACCAACGATGTGGCTTTTAGGGTTTGCATGGCAACTATATGTTTCTTTTGTGTGTGCTTTACTGCTAATCCTTCCTGTGTTTTGAAGCCAACTTGTAATTGTAGACTGCTTTGTGTGTTGATCTGAACCAATATCTCACATAATCTGCTGTAGATTTAGCTTAATGCAAATTGAAATAATTGATCCTGCTCTCTCAGGGCTTTGGCAGCTCACAGGGCTCTCCTGCCTAGGCAGTGAGCCTGCCTTCCCAAATACCTGATTGTGAAAGAGTCAAGTTAGTGAATGCTACACACGAACTGGCTTTAGGGCTCAGTTCTGTGCAGTGAATCCCTGTACAACAGTATGTAATCTTGTAAATGACGGTTCAGGCAATTAAAACCATTACTCATTTTCTTTCTGGAAAGATCTTCACTGTGTTTTGAATTGCTCCTGACCTGGACTGTATAGAAAGAGATTTTTCTCCAGTATTTTCATGCTAGCTTTTGTTTACAGCAAGAAGATGAGAACCCAGAGAGTGGTGAATAACAGATCTGTATCAAGTCAATGGCTCTTGAATACAAAATAAGGGAAAGCAATTACTGATCCATACCCATTGCCTTCATTGAAAAAAAAACAAAAACAAAAACAGAAAACACCAACTAAATTTAGCTTGTTGCAAACTTGTAAATCAGCACTGCTTCTTGGAGCTTTGTGCAGTGAATGAACTGAGTTTTAATAGTGCAGCTGAGAAAATAATCTGTTGGTTTTTCAGGAGTTGTGGAGCCTGTTAACGTGGTTGACAATGGCGATGGCACCCACACAGTGGTGTACACACCTACACAGGAGGGGCCGTATATGATCTCTATCAGATATGCTGATGAAGAGATCCCTCGCAGGTAAGGCGATGAAGGTAAACTTAGGTGAACTGAAGATTTAATTACCTGATCATGCTCTCCCAGCACATGAGCACTGTGTAAGGGCTGCCTGTGGTCCTTTCTACTTGAACCAGTGCAGCTCCCTGCATGACTTCAGGGGTTCAGCGGTGGTTTGAGGCTGCTGCACCGACAGCAGAGACGCCACAGGGGCGGTGTGTTCACACCTCAGTGAGTCCTGTAGTAATATTGGCCGTTTACTGAGAGGGTCGTCAGAAGCTGGAACAGGCTGCCCAGGGAGGTGGTGGAGTCACCATCCCTGGATGTATTTAAAGAGCGGGTAGACGAGGTACTTAGGGATATGGTTTAGGGGGTAGACAGGAACGGTTGGACATGATGATCTCAGAGGTCTTTTCCAACCGAGCGATTGTGTGTGTGTGTGTGTGACTTAGGAGGAGGGGGCAATAACAGGCTTCCCTTTAAGTCCCTTCAAGGTGAAGGTGCTTCCTACGTACGATGCCAGTAAAGTGACGGCGAGTGGACCAGGTCTCAGTTCCTATGGCATACCAGCTAGCCTGCCCGTGGAGTTCGCTGTGGATGCTAAGGACGCCGGGCAGGGACTTCTGGCTGTACAGATCACTGTAAGTAACTACAGAACCAGGCAGGAGTGGAAACGTGTTGTTCTAGGTGGGCATAAGTGGCTTCTGTGCAAAGTTTCCACAGCTGTACCCTGGCGTTCCCAGTGTCCAGGAGACTCTGCTGCTGGCTGGACCTTAAGCTCTGGTACAGGAAAGTCTTGTAGTCTGTGTTTGTGAAGCTCTTGAGGCTGCTTTTATGAAACTTCTGTCTTAAAGTCTTACAATCTGCAGTTACCCAAACTGAGAAGTCATTTCTTGTAAGATTATGAAAATGGTGGAATTTGAAGTGGAGACAGCCTTCTAGCAGTGTAGTTCCTGAAGGCTGTGAGGTAACATCCACTGAGCATTACATGATGATAAATTAACAAACAGTTCTCCCTCAAGGTTGCCAAAAGTCATAAGCTGCTTAAGGAGATACTACAGGAATATTTTATTTGACTTTGTTACTGCTCTCCCTGAAATTTCTGCTGCCTGGACTCTGTGGCCTCAGTGAAAAGGTCTCTGGTCAGTGGGCCATAAAGCACATTTCTCAGCTCTGGCATGGCACGGCCGGTTGTGCTTGCCCTTCTGCATTCTTGCTCCCGCTGTCCCACCATCTGCTCAGGTGCAGCAAAGCAATTACTTTTGTTCTGGCATGCAGGTGTGCTCCTACAGGATCCAAAATGCTTATCAGAGCTCCCACTCCGGCTGTGGCTTTGAAGATCAAGTTCCCCAAGTCCCGCATGGTGGGAGCACATATGCCATGAGGAGGACTGTCTGTGTTTATTTCTCATTCTGAACTATTGAATGTTAAACATTTCATGAGCCTTCCTTGAAGGACTCAGCTCTTTTGCTCTGCACCTAAAATTTTGAGTCCTTTGCAGCTTATACTCTACCCCAAGTGGTGTTGAGTCATAAAATACAGAATGGGGTCAACACAATGTCCTCTGTGGGCAGGCCCAGAAGACTTTCTCAAATGCCTCATGCTTTGCAGCTGATGTGTTACACTGAAAGCTGCAGCTGGGAGTAGCTTTGTCAGAAACATTCTGTACGACGCTGATCTCGGATTCTTAAGACATGAAAACTTGATGCTGAAGCTCAGATCTGTATTGTTTATGCATCTCCCTCATTTTGTCTTCTATTCAGTGTAGAAATGGTGTTGAAGAGCCTGTGTAGGCTTGCTTTTAACTGTAGACCTTGCAGTGCCTCATCCAGGAGGGCTGGTGATGGACTCCAGAAATGCTTCCCCCGACCTCAAACCTTTCAGGCAGCAGCTGTCCAAAGCCACCCAGTGCTTTGTCAGGACAGAGCTGCACAGTCCGGCTCCCGAGCTGTGCATCGGACACCTGGGAAATGTTCTTAATTTCCAGCAGCAATATGACAATGAAGCCAAAAAATACTTAAAATTAATTAAAAAAATCATTGAAATGGCTTGCTGCATCTCATAAACATTCGTGTACCAAGCAATGGATAGTTAATGATAGCATTGGTTGTTTTATAGTGGTCTTTTTGCTTCTAATAGTCTGTCCCTGGTACTAGTCTTTGAGTGAAATATACTTAACCCTCGAAAAGCAGCACTCCTGAATCTTTTTGAGAGTGACTGACTGTGGGTGTGAACAGAATTGCTGCCCTGCTGAAGGGATCCATAACTAACTTCATAGTGCCTCAATCCTCTGGTTTGCGTTCCTCAGGACCAAGAGGGCAAACCCAAGAGAGTGGACGTTCATGACAACAAGGATGGCACTTACACAGTCACTTATGTCCCTGACAAAACGGGCCGCTACACAATCGGTGTGAAGTATGGGGGAGATGATATCCCGTCCTCTCCCTATCGGATCCGGGCATCTCCAGCTGGGGATGCCAGCAAGTGTCTGGCCACAGGTGAGTGCTGGCTCCTCTCTGTCGCTGTTTGTTCTTTGTGTAAAGCTGCCTTCTGAGGATGGTACGGTTGATTTAATGGGTGTAGAAGATACTAGAGACTCGTGCAATCTGGCTGCTTCTACAGGAGGGTTTTCCTAAAGATAAAGAAGCGTCCACGCTGCAGGTGAGCAGGTATCTCTTGCAGTCTCTAGCAAAATCTGCTGGGATTATTATAAACAGCCAGATGCAACCGAAGTCTGATGCTTATTTTGGCCTAGACAGATCCTGCTGAGTACTGCAGTGAGGTTGTTTTAAAAGCAACACATCTGCACATGTGCACTGCATCTTGCTCCTCGCACTGCAAGCATTGCAAGAAGCTTTTCATTCCGAGCAGGAACAGAATTAATTCCGAGGGTGTAAGTATCTGGCCATGTGCTTCTACATTAGCAAAGCCTTTGCAGACCGTGTGTTATTAGTGGAGGTTTCTGCTGCTTTTTTTTCTGGTCAAAGTTGGCCAGGGTCTGAACAGATTTCTGGAAGGTGCAAGTGGAAGGAGAGAATGTAAAGACAAGAAGTTGCTACAACTAAAAAAAATAATTGCCTCAAAAATCAGTGTCTTGGTGTAGGGGGAGGGACTCCCAATTTCCTGCTGTAGGAGCACACTTACACCTTCGACCCTTACCCATTCTCAGGATGGGTGGCCATCATGCAGCTTTGGGCTGGCCACCATGGCACACTGCCACCTCCCAGGCAGCAGAGGCTGTGGCAGGGAGCAGAAGTGACAGGAACCAGTTACAAGAATGCCACAAAATGTTAAATCCCCTGATTTTAGAATAAATAAATTAGCAAGAGCAAATTGAACAGGAAACTTTTATCTGTGGTAATAGACCTGTGGGAGTGTGTGGGCATTGTTCTGACCTGCATACCCAGTGTCCATCCGGCAGCTGGCTGCTTTCAGGTCTGCTTAAACGGAGATGTATTCCTGGCACAATAGAAAACACAGAGCAGCAGGTATCCCCTTTGCTTCCAAATTTGTTTAAAAGAGGCCTTAGTGGCTGTGTCTGATACTTTTCCAAGTAACTGAAGTCACTATTTGAAATAATTGCATTGGAGTTTACCCTCAGATGCCAGCTTATATTTCTCCTTTCCAAGAAGTGCCTCTGACTCTGCTGTAAAGCTGAAATACAATCGCCGTAGGAGTGCTGGAATACTGTCAGGGTATTAAAGCAGCAGGTTTGGTGCCACCTGAAAATGAGTCATTTACCTGGTTACAAGTGCTGGACAAAAGCAGGAGTATTAAATATGTACTGCAAATAGGACTTAATAGTTCTCATTTAAACACAGTGTACTTCAGGCCAGATCTGATTGCTACAATTTGGTCATTGTTTCATGATTTATTTGTTTTTCTGGTTTTTTTTGAACAGAGGAAAATAATCTGTGGGTAATGTAGGTGGAAACATGGCCGTGGCTGCTACTGTGCCCTTTTATGGCTGCTTACACAGGGAGTTTGGTGTTAAAGCAGTGACAGCCGAGTTGCTGACCGGGGCAGTGCCTTTGGCTCTGCATAAAGGAGTATGACGATAAGAATGTGGGTTAAGGCATTGCTTTCCTCAAACTTAGCTTTTTTCCCCCCTCTGTTCTCATCCAGCCTCTCTGATTGCAGAGAAGGAAATCTCTTGGTGGCAAGCTCTTGCATGCTGCTTTGCTGACCAACATTGCGAATGTCCTTTGTTGTACATCTCCCAAAACTACGTCTGTGGGTCTCCGAGCCCGGCATTTTGGTGCCATGCTTCCCAAGGGCCTCGCAGGTGGCCTGCCTGGGAGAAGTGTCCTCTGACCACTTTCTGTAATGGAAATTGCCTTGTAGGTCCTGGAATTGCACCCACTGTGAAGACTGGTGAGGAGGTTGGTTTTGTGGTAGATGCCAAATCAGCAGGGAAGGGAAAAGTGACGTGCACCGTCCTGACGCCAGATGGGACAGAAGCTGAAGCAGATGTTGTTGAAAATGAGGACGGGACTTACGATATCTTCTACACTGCCGCCAAACCAGGAACCTATGTGATTTATGTCCGCTTTGGTGGGGTGGACATTCCCAACAGTCCTTTCACTGTCATGGTAAGCCAGCTCTGCTCCAAAAATACCTCCCACTTGGATTCCTGCTTCCACGTTTTATTTAGTGATAGGTTAACTCTGTGTGTAAATGGTTTTTTTTAGGCATTTATTAGACTAGCAGGAGCTAATGAATCCTTGCTACTTGCAGAGCTTATTTTGAGCAGGTAACAACAGTTAAATGAAGAGGGATAGAAGCCATCAAGGGATGAAGACTTGGCTTCTCTGAACACATTAATTTTTCATTTCCTGACCGCGTAGCTCTTTTTCTAAATGGTGTGTAAGGGTGGCTGTGATTAGTTTCTACAACTAATTACTTCAGCTGTTGTCAGACACGGTGCTCTGACTTGTCAGTCTCTCACTCGATATAATGTTGACCCAAAACCAAGAAATGGTCTGCTGACAGATCCCAGGGAAGTAAGCTGTTAGCTCACTCTTAAAAATGATTTGCAAATGCTTGTCAAACTGTTATGGCCAAATTTCTCTTCTACTAATTATGTTCCTTCCAACATGCAACACTTCAGCATGTTTAGGTTTAAAAAGCAAACAAAACCCCAGCCTCCATCAGGAGCAGCCTGGGTGCCTCTCAGGGCTCACCAAAGCTCTTCGTGTGGAGAATGGCTCTCAGTCTTGGCAAAACAAGTCCTGGTCTTGCAGTCTCAGCCAAGGCAGCCTCCAGTGCTGCTTGGTCCTTGAAACCACACGGCCGTACGTGTGCTGAGTCTCGTGAAGCCCACGGGCGAGTCCTTGGGGCCGGGCATGCTGGCTCTTCCTACCCGCCAGCCCGGCAGATCGCTACCGGTGTCTCCAAGGATTTCCATAAGAAAAAACTGCTCCCTTGGTCACTGCTCAAAGTTCGCTGCAGGAAATGCCTTTCAAGGTCAGGAAGCCTGCTCCCAGGCAGCCAAAATTCCCACTTCCTAGCCGACTGGTGCAGTACATGTTTGACTTGGGTGTCTCAGCTGGGGACAGAGAACAGTGAAACAGCAGTGTTTCTGGCTTGCTTTGGTTTTCTGTAGTGGAGTCTTTCCACGCATAAGTTTCCAGCAAGTTATTTTGTCAGGGTGGTTTGCAGTGGCATAAGTAGGCAGGAGAGCCGGGGTGGCTGAGCCCCACGGAGCTGCATGCATGGGCTTGAGCCCCAACTGCCTCCCTTGCGTTGAGTGGGGGCGATGGGAATTTGCAAGTCATCCTCTTGGCATGCCTGGTGGGAAGGGAAGCTGCGACAGGGGAAAACACG